CGATATGATTTTACTCTATCGGATTTTCCAACAACCCAACCACCCCTGTAGACCTCTGTTGGTTTTATCGCACAACGTTCATCTCAGAGGGCATCCGCTGAAGTTGGCACACCAAAAGAGCCGTCTCGACTGCAGACGTCACTCGTTTGCAGTCTTCTTCATCCGAACCCATGTGTAAACACCCTATGCGATTTGTAAAAGCGAAGTCTTTGTAAGTTATATCCCATAATAAAAATTTGAAATTGAATTTGAATTTGATAAATTTCGGGTTTTGAACCCCACGGAATGAACAATCTAAACCTCTCAAAACCATTTCACGCAAGTGAAACGTTGTGCTGCTTGTGTGGCTTGTCGGCAATCCGACCATGGTGGTTCCGGTGTTTGCACAAATTACTTTTGAGCACACTAAGGAAGGGTGGGGTGGGGTTGTGGAGAAGGATGCTGATTGCCTCCGCTGCAGCCGTGGATACGGAAATGCACGTGTCTATAGACCGTCTCGTTCTAACTCTGTACAGAGATAGGGACGCTTCTGTCACGTTTATGGGGTGATTAGTGCGACACAATGACACTTGTGTTTGGCCTAAATGCACTACCTCTCAACCACGACGCATCGGAGTGATGCTCACGGATACGTTCAGACAGAAGCCTGGTCGTGCGGTCAATACAATCGGCTCCTCACGAGCAAGTAAAGAGTGAAAGAGAATGAAATTGGGCGTTCCATTCTTCAACCACAGATACACTAACGAGGTAGATGTGAATCGGGTCTGCAGTTTGGTTGGCGGATTACCGACAATCGACACGTAACACTCGAACAAATGATAATTGACTCCTAACGAATTTATGTCACCCACCTGCAAAGTAGGGGGACCAATTATGTTCCAAACTATTGAACATTTTAATTACTTTCTTTTCTTCCGTAAATGGCTTTATATATATATATATGTGGTTTTGTAATGGTACGACTAAGATGCACTGAAAACGAGCTTGTTTCACAGTTGTGACTTCTGTGGGAAGGGTTGAACATTTAAAACGTTATACTAATAAAAAATGAATTCACCCTACTGTATATAAACCAGTGGTAACAACCTCAGGTAAACCGTCACCGTTCAGTAATAGCTCACCTGTTTTGAGTGTCAATTGCACCGGTCGGCTGGGCACAGTACGTTGTCCTTCCAGATAGGCGACCACTCGGCACGCCACATCCCTGTCCAAATAGGGACAATCAGATACGACTGCTTTACCGGTCAAATTCCCCCGGATATTCTCCACAACTGGACTCCATTCTCCCGCGTAGCCCTGACGCAGTTCAATGTTGAAACTCACGTGATCGGCCAGATCCATTGAGGTGGATCGGGGCAGCGGTGCACGATCGCGCGACTCCCCGGTCTTGTTCTCATTCCAAGCGTATTTGAGTGAATCGATTACCACATCACCCAAGCGCCAACGCAATTGAACTTCTCTTGGACCCAAAATTGTATAGCGGAGATCTTCGACGCATCTGTGCACATGCATAAGAGAGCGAAACAAGAATTGAGGAGTATTGAGAAATTTGAGGATCCGGGTGTCGGATGATTGCGATCTGGTACGGTTTACTTGTCCATTGGGTGCTTGTATACAGTACCATTAGACAGGATGATTGGTGCTTGAAGATGATCAATATATGTAATGGAATTGCTTGTGATAATCAATGAAGAGCACTGGACAGCTGTTTCGTCCTGTTTGGGACTCTTCAGAAGTGCGTACCTTTTGTGTCCCTGACAGGACTCGAACCGCGAACATTTGGGACATCGAGCATCATCTACAGTGTCTTCTGCCTGTGAAAAACCGAATGGGCTAATCCAAACATTCAATATCTAGAATGATCAATATATCTCTCGAACAGTGGGTGGTGGTGGACTATTCTCTGAAATTGCTGTTTGACTATCAAATGTTTCATTGCTAGGAACTACGATATCATCATCGGTTGCTTTTAACTTCTCAGTGGATACCATTTTGAAGAGCCTATTACGGCTTGGCTTGCTTTGTTTTATTCTCCATCTCGGAGAACCCTCCAAAACAAAAAAAAACCTCATGCTAAGGAGACTTTCTCTCTCGCCAACCGATAATTCCATTTGGGTGAGAAGCTTGTTTGATTTCGATCAAATGTCACTGTTTACATCACAGCTCAGGTCAGAAAACAATGGAAATTGTAAGTCTTCTACGACGAAGTTGAGGTAATTCCATAAGTCACAGCATAAGGGCTAACAAACCGTGTGTATTCATCACGATGGACTGCGGGACACAGAAGGAAGCTGAGTTTGTGCACAACAAGATCCACGGGATCAACAACATCAGTAATGCGTGCGCAATGGGAAGCATACCTAACACCTGGGTCATTACAATGAGACGAGTCTCTGTGTGCTTGGGTAGAGGATGGATATGGAGATGGCT